TGTACAAAGACTTCCAACTGTTTAACAATGAACTCTTATACCCCTACATGCACAGTACTCGAACTCAAGACCTCAAGGATAATAACAATCTCTTAATCACTAAGATCGCTTGATTTGTGCTGAATTTGAGTTTAAATACCTAATGTCATTACATTTTTCTTAAATATTTAATATTTCAACCGCTGTTAATATTTAATTATGACTATGTCCGTGCATCCTATACAATCATTTAAACATTGCAATAAGTCCGGCCAAGGTATAATAATTCCTATACGGATTTCCAAGAGCATTTAATGGTTACACATGCATATAATAATTATGTATCAAGAAGAAGTTATAAAATACGATTCTATAATTAAACTTGTTTTTTTTCAAAATGTGTTTATATTTGCACTATTAATCCACATGTTTAGGAAGAATTTAATTAAGATTTATGGTGTTTAACCTATATTTTGATATAACAATTAAAGGTAAAATGTTTTTGAACTTAATTGAATTTATTCAAATATTTCAAAAAATAATTCGAAATTCAAATAAACTTGAAAAATATGTTTCAAATGTATTTCTACTTTGTTAGATCTTTTCAAACAGTTTCTCAATAATTTTTGCTTTTTAAAACGTGAATTTGAACACAAAAATACTTTTTTAGGTAAGTAGTATCGATATTGTTCTTGAATAGTATCAATATTGATCTTGTGGTAACGATACTATTCTTATGAGTAGTATCGGTACTCTCTTGATAGTACCTATACTACCCTTTGTTTTCAAAGTTGTTCAAATTTTAGAATGCAAAATTGGTATCGATACTCCTAAGAGTATCGACACTACTTATAACAGTAGTACCGATACTACTAGGTATAGTACCAATACTACTACAACTTCTCAAATGGCTAGATTTTTAAATTTAACATAGGTAGTGTCGATACACTACAACAAAATAGGTTTTTAGCGGCATTTTTTAGTCCAATAGTCGCATTTTTAAGCGTCGCTAAAAACCCTCCCGGCGGTAACAAAAGCGTCGCAAGAAGTGCATCTAAGTCGAGTGCCGCAACTGTTAGCGATGTTTGTAAACATAAAATGTCACTATATATCACAACATCTAGCGATTGGTTCCACAAATGCCGCTATTAACTATGTATATAGTGACATTTTTCTTCACAAACGCCGCAAGTGTATATGTCATTAGTGGCGTTTTCATTCAGAAACACCACAAAAAAACGTGAATTGTAGTGGCATTTTTTTTATACAAACGCCGCAAAAGAGCAAAGTTTGCCAAATATCATGTTCTGCTCTTTGTACCAAATTGAAGCAAATTGGATTAAGTTGACGTCACATATCAATATTAATTTAGTTGGAAAAAACATTTTAAATGGTAATATATATCATTATACATCATATTTTATTTAAAATAAATATTATTATTACAAAATAAGTATTCTATGAAAGTATTGTATTTGTTGCAATTATTGGTTCATTGTATAAGGGATTACATGTGATTTTTTTCATACACTACTAATAAATAAAGGTATATTAAAAGAAGGGCATATTCCGAGTTTTGACTAATTTATCCATCCAACAGCGATGAAGACTTTTTGAGATCAAATTAGGTAATATTTCAAAATTAATATAAATTAAAAAAGATGAAGAAAAAGAAAAAATGTTACAAGGAATTGGTTTAGATTGGAGACCGAGGAGGAGGCTAGCTTGCATGAGATGAGTAGATGAGTCAGAATCACAGCCAGAATCTTCTAGTCGGACTTGGAACTTCTCAAACTACTTCTCCAAGGAAGGAGATGTTAGGTGCGAGTCGGAATCACCGTCGGTCATGGAAGTCGAGCAAAGAGCAACATTGAGAGGGGAACGAGAATGAAGGCTTCTGGAAATGCCCAAGGGAAGCGAAAAATTGAATCGAGGGAAACCCTGAGAAGGAAGCGAGCAAAAAGAGAAAATAAAGGTAGAAAGCGAAGAATTGACGGGTTAGGTTTTGAAGAATAAAGAAAGCAAAGCTGTTTATTAACCAATTACAACGTTTATTTTTAAAACGCCACTAAATAATTCACAATTGGGGCGTTTATCAACCAAACACCACTATATATCAGTCTATTGTGGCGCTTTCCCACAAATGCCGCAAAATTTGTTATTTTGTGGCATTTGTTAAAAAAACGCCGCTAAAAATGTCGTTATATACCAATTTTGCTGTAGTGATACAACAAGGATGAATATCGCTACTACTTATCTAGACAGATTTCAGTGTTGAAATTAACTACCTCAACGACTAGAATTCAACTCCAATGACTCCAAATGACTAGAAACTCATTCTAACATATAAAAACACTCCAAGAACACTTAAAGAAGGTTACTACACCTATCCAAGCTTAAAGATTAAAAGAAAATACTCTTTCATTCTTATTTTCCATTTTCTCTTGTATATAGTGTACGGAGCTTCATTGAGTATATTTTTGTATTTTCGTGAGCTTAATTCTTGTAAACATTACCTTGTGAGGTCTTCTTGTTTACACAAAGTTATCGTTTGCAAAAGGAGAGAGATTATAGTTTAGTCTTTGAGAAAAATTAGGGAGTTGTAAAGGTTACACCTTATCCTTAAAAAGGCAAGAACAAATTTATGAGTTTGTTAGAAAATCATTATTGTGAAATTAAGGTAGTGAATGCAGACTTGGTTGAGAAATCGAACCATTATATATCGTTGTGTCTATTTTTGTATCTTTTATTGCTTACACGCCAAAGGTTTTTAAATGCCATTTCATTTCTCTTGACTTATTTTAGTTAATCCATAAAGCTTCAATAATCCTAACACAGAGTCAAGCAAGTACTGATACCAAAAAAGAAAAAAAAATCATGTAACATGCAAAAACATATATATGTTATTATGTGGGCCAAACTCCATTATAATTGGTGCTGGATGGAGTTCCAGATTCGATGAACTTCCTCAATTTTGATTGCGCCGTATCCATGTTTTGTAATCGATATTGTCGCAAATAATTCTTCTCACTGGTATTTATAAATATTATCTTTCAATATTTTATATTCATTATGTCCATACCTAAATTTTGGGTTGTTTTCTTTCGACTTGGAAGTATATTCCTCACACGCACCTATACATATATATGTAAGTATATAAATACGTATCATCTTAGTTTCCAATTGGTTCCCCGTAACAATAGTAGATTTTCAGTGCATGCATGCGCATAGAGATGGTTCCATAATTTCTGAGACATTCCTTTAGGTACTTGGTGCACATGCCATGTTTTATTAACTCATCGCCAATGGACGTGGACGGTGGATCCCATTAGATTCCCTTTGGCCTTTTCTGTTGTATTGCTTTCCCAATAAATTTATATACAATATCTGATATTTGCTGCGAGTTTGTGCCAACAGCTATGAATTTGCTTGAAGAAGTTTTGACCCTTTACATTTACGAAAACAACCATACAATATACATAATTACCTAATAGTAAAATGCCCTTTCCTCGGCTCAAATCTTTGAATTATATAATGTGTAATTCGAATCCAAAACCCATATATAAATATTATTTATATACAGTGACAAAATTTGGTGATAAAGTTTGAGAGGTTAACTTAATTTTTTTTTTTAAAATAGATGTTTAAAATTTTTGAAGGGTTTAGTTTATATTTTTTTTTTCAAAAAAATAGGGTCTAACTACAATTTTTGAAATATTGAGAGGCTTAATGAGATTTTTTTAAAAACTATGGGAGGGGTTTAATTAAGAACATTAAAAAAGTTAAAATATAATTTGAATTTTTAAAATTTTTGGAAAGGTCAAATTTTTTTTTTTTTAAATTTAATGGTTAAAATTATAAGTTTTAAATTTGGGGGGGGCATGGCCCCTCTAAGTAGGGATGGCAAATGGGTACAATTTCGTGGATTCCGCACCACAGCTGCTCCAATTGGGGCGGGGATGTGTATAATTTTAGTGGGTAGTGGATTTAGAAAGTGGTACCCATCGCGGGTAGTGGGCGGGTAATGGGTTTGAGACCTTACCTGCCCCGCATCTGCCCGCCCCGCATCCGCCCGCCTAGCTAAATATCCATTAAATTTTGGACCATTATGAATTTAGGTGTAATTTTAGAGACTAATTTATAAATCCTAATATTTTATAAGATATAACTTGTAATTTAACCAAATATTAGGATACATTTATGCATTTGTGTTAATGTGAGGTATATGAATTTAATATTCGTTTCATCGGTTTGATGATAGAGCTTGCATTTGTCATCTACAAAGAGGGCAATTTAGCAGTCATCTTGATGGGTTTGATTGTGTCTGTAGTTCACATTACCAGTTTACCGACTTTCATTTAGTTTATGAGGTTGTTAAGATTCTCTGCCAAACCTGAAAGACATGGAGTACCCACTTCAATTTTCATCTTCACAAATAGTACAGGTTTTAATTCGAACTGCACTCTATTACTCCATCTTCAAAATTAGCTTGATTTTACTGCCATCTTGTTCTAATAATCTTGAACTTAGGCTAGAAGTATTTCTACTTTATGAGATATAGTACTATATAAAAGTCAATAACTTTCCTAACCTGCTTATAAGAAGTATTTTTTTTCTACTTTATATAGGAGACCTTATTGTCGATTTAAGAGATTTGCAGCCTGAACTCTGCATTACAACAACATATGGGAATTTTACCCACCAAATTTCTCAATATTCCACCATTAGGTTAGTCCATGATGGTTTTGTTAACGGATTTGGAGTTTTTTGTTTCTGCTTCTTTGTCATGTCTATGTTTGTGCTCACCTAATGTTTGCTCTCAAGTCAACAAACACTACAACTATTTTTTTTGCAACTTATAATGGTAAGTTGATCTTTATAATGAGATCTTTATGGATTCAGCTTTCCACCAAATGCTAGACTTATAGTTCCTTTCCTGAAGCAATATCCCACATTGGGGAAGTACATGAGTGGACCACTTATTTGGCATTATAAATAAAAGGCAGCTACCTCCTTTCAACATATTTACCTGGACGGGGTTAATGGAAAATCAAGGTTCATGGCCTAGGTAAGCGACCTCCATTGCACTTGGGAGGGGTGCTCGTCTAAGGTCTTCCCACTGTAGGAGAGCTTACGTCATAATTTGTGGTACTGGGCGAGTTTGAGCTTCAATCGAGCTCGAGTCTCGAGCTTCAATTGAGCTCCTGAAATTTTTTTGAGTTCGAGTCGAGTTTTAATATTATATTTCAAGTTCGAGTTAAGCTTGATAATTTTTAGCTCGCGAGTTTTTGAGTCGCATCGAGCCTACTTTTAAAGTTTTTGAGTTCGAGTCGAGCTCAGCAATATTCGAGCTTGACTCAGCGGGTGTTGGGATGGATTTGATAATGTACCCGCGTGGGCAAGTGTGGATTTAATTTTTTTACCCATTATGGGTGGTGGGCGGGTGGTGGATTGAAAAATATTAGGTGGGTATGGGGATGGGGGAGAGGGTATCCGCACTCAACCGCTCGTTTGCCATCCCTACCTCTAAGCCAGCTTGTGTTCTGCCCCTCTATGTGTGTGTACACACACAAAGGAAAAATTGTTTTTTAATAGTTTGGGTCTCATAAATGATTATAATGTAGTATTTGTTTAAAATCATTTTTAATCATTGAGACTTACACACCCTACATATTTAACTGCTCGAACTCAGATATATAAAGAGAGCAACATTCTTTTACCACTAAGGTAAATGCATCATCTCATGTACAAAAGCACGTATAGAATAACTTGATCTCATAAAAATAGTAGCTTTCAAGATGAATACAAACACACGTCATGGAGACAAGAAGGATTGTGTATGGATTACTAAACTTCACCAAACAAGTATCTCTTTTGGCAAATGGATGAGGATGATGACAAAGATTTTAACCTAAAAGACGAAAGAGATTTCCAATGCTACAAAATATTGAAAAGTTGTGTGTTAATGCTAATGGAATGAACCTACCACTGAATTCAAAAATAAAAGATGCTTTCTGTGTTCGTTCCCTATATTGACATTGGTATTTTGCATTAGTGGAGGAAAGTATGTCTCTCTCAACATTTTGGAAAACTAGAATTTGGTCCTTTAAATTCTCTATAAAACAATAATTTACCCCCTCAATATTTTTAAATATTCATATAAGTTTAAAAAATAAATATTTTATTAAATTTCTATCATAATTTTAGAAGTTTTCGTTTTAGTTAAACCTCTAAACTTTTTTTAGAAAACACAGTTTAAGCCTCTAATTTTCTTTAAATAAGCCTCCAAAATCTTCATCAAATTTTGACACTGTTTTATATTACAAGATGTAACGACTTGAGTGTTTGAGTCAATATTAGTATGATGGTCTGGATCATAAATAAATCAATAAATTAGAGTAATTTGGTTCATTGGGCCAAGTTTTAATTTGATTGGATGAAAAGTGGGCTAAAATAATGTAAAAATGAGTTTTTTTAATTGATGAAAAAAATAAAAATAAAAAGATTAAGTGTAGTTGAAACCAATTTTTAAAATAAATATTAAATTTTATTAAATTAGTCTTGTTTGGACGTGGAGCAATAGAGAGTAAAATTGGTGCATGATATCATCCCTTTTCTCTTAATTTTCTTTCAACTCTTTCACTCATCTTCTCCCTTTGAAAATCCCAGTTTGTGAGCACCAAAAGATTCACCTTCTTCATCCAAAGCAATCATTATAGTTTAAGACAGGTAAAAATCATCTTCAACACTCAAAGAGCTTCAAGAAAAATTCATGTGAAACTACTTAAAGGTTGAAGGGGGATTTAAATTTATAAAGTTCCGATAAACACTAAAATTCTAAGTTTAAAAACTTATAAAGTATCGATATTCATTCATTTGATATCAACATTGTTTATCTAGTATCGATATCAGAAGAATCAATGTAGGTATTGAGAAAGTTTGAACAATTTCAGTATGTTAATTCGGTACTGATATTCCCTATGAATATAGATATTGTTGGTGAAACATCGAGAAAGTATTGCTACCCCGAATAGATAAAGCTTTAAAACAATTCCATAAAACTCTAAGCTCTTCAAAATATTCCATAAGACTTCAAAATAACTAAAGCACCCGTATATAATATTTCTTACCATGAAAGCTCCAATATATGAGAATACGAGAAACGTGTGACTAAAGACTTATGTTTAAGTGTTTGACTTAGTGGTGGTATTGTGTGTACAACTTTGATTGCAATACTACTATACACAGTTTTATGAGTAACATCTATCTATACGGGACTCGAAGTATATTTGTGGCTTTCGAATTTAGTGATGCAAGACTACTTAGGTAAATAGACCAAGTTGTGCGGTTTTGGATGATATCCTACATTATGATTCTGTAAATTGTTATGTGAAAGAAAATTTACGTTAAGTATGAAACTATACACTCTATATACCTGCAAAAATGAGAATAACCCTTGTTAGTTTTTTTTTTGATAGAAGAACCCTTGTTAGTTTAGATGCATATTAAGATGAGTATGTCATGCCTATATACTATGCTTATGTTAATGAATTATATGAAATATAATAGAGCTGATGTGTACCATTGAATTTGTAAAGTTTATCGTTCGGATTAGTTACATGCGCATGCTAGTAGGTCTTGTGTTCTTGTTCGAGGAGAACTATTGTCAAAGGATTGTCAACAACCTTGATTAGAATACAACATTATTTTATAAATGGCTGTCCCTTATTCCCATATGTAATGGGGTAAGGGGGAGGTAAGATAGTAGGCTGCCCCCAACACTAGGTTGAGAGCAGCTTCCGTAGGAGACTTCCGAATTATGAAATGCTCTCCATGGGACTCGATCCCACGACCTCCCACGACCTCAAGGTTAAGAACCTTGTGCTCTACCAACTGAGCTGGATGGTCATTTCCATGGAGGACATTTCATAATTCGGAGGTCTCCTACGGAAGCTGCTCTCAACCTAGTGTTAGGGGCAAACTACTATCTTACCTCCCCTTACCCCATTACATATGGGAACAAGGGACATCCATATTATTTTATGCTTGTGCGTATATATATTCTTAGGACCCTTCTATATTTTAGTTTTTAAATTCTATTATTATTTTTGAATATATTTAACTTATTCCAGAGCTCTAAATTTTGTATAATTATTTTAGTTTGTATATTTTTGGTATTTCTTTTACATGTGGGACACAATTTTGAAATTTACAATGTAAATTTTAATTATTTTAATTTATTGATCACTTTGACTATCTAGTATAATATCTCAAATTTGTCAGATTATATGATATAAATTGGAGTTGTTACGCACGAAAACATTTATTTCATAAAAAATAATTATTACAATTCTATCCATTGGAATCATATGCTTACCCTCCCTTGACAATGTGTCCAAACAAAAATGTTTTCCGATCAAGCTGTGGTGCTTATCCATGGTGAATGCCTATTTGTCCCCATCACTTTCCATATTGGGGATTTTGTGGCATGCAATTAGTTCACGTCACCACTATACCTTCATAAATGTTCCTTCCCTGAGACTACGACCGATCTGATTATTCTCTGCTCTTTGTTTCTTTCACTTCTTTTGTGTGTGTGTGTGTTATGTTTTGTCCTTTTCGAACCAAACTTGACTGTTCTAAGTAGAGGTTGATGTATCAGCTTTAGTTTCTTGGTTGATGTTAACTCCTCTAATAACCGATACATGAATATGGGAGAAGCCGTGTTGCTATCTCTGACTTTGGCTATCTGCTTACGGGTCTAAACACAAATAAAAGGTTCACTTTAAGCTTCAGGTTATTTTTGGAAAGAGAGAGAACAAATAAATCATCTTATACGATATCAATGTTTTTTTTTAAGATTTCACGAACTGTTCACTAGCCTGCCATCACGGGCTCAAACTACCTACCTTGACTCTGGCGAATCTGGGCCTGTAGCAAAATAGGTCATGGTTCAAACAAACGAAGGTCAAGTTTTTTAGCGTCGATTAAACCCATCAAAGTAGGTTCAGCCTGCAATCTGCAGCAGGGATTTGCAGTCATCAAAGCTCCAAATCTTTGCATTAATACAATTATAAATATACAATGAGTGAGTTGGATAGTTTTGGACAGTCGTAGACCTAAAAAAAGGTGTTTTTGTTACAATTTAGAAACGTTTTTCAGAAAGACTTGCTTTGAAAGAGGTACAACTTTGAGAAGAAGCGTGTTCTAAATTAAGATAAACTCTCAATCAATTTGCAAAACATATTCAATTGGTAAACAGGTAATTAAGGGAGCTAACACATATTATTACTTAACCTAATAACTCTTAGAAGATCTCGCCATTAATTAATATTCACATGCAGTGGAACTGTGGGAATCGAACTATACTCGGTAACAAAGAAGAGTGGAAATAAAAAAGTAAAAAGAGTAAAAAGCACATCAAAATAAGACTTGCAACTTTTCGACATTGTAGTAGGGACTAAATAGTATAGGAGTATTAGAATCTAATATAGTATTTGTATAGCAAAATGGAATTCCATTTCTCAGCCTCATCCCTGCATGTCTTAGGATGACGAGGCAGCAGCACCATCGTCGTCATGATGAAACCAGTCACCATAATAGTAATGGGGAAAATTGATTGATCCTTAGAAAATGTCAAGAATCTCGAGGATTGAACGGCTGCAGAGGGGACAGCACCCTCGATTCAACCACAGTTCCCTCGAACACATCCTGCAAAAAGTGTGTCCACATGGGATAAACGCCGCTCCTTTCTTCCTCCCCATACATACGCAGCACATCGAATCACTCCCCATCTCGGTCCCACCTTCTTCCACCTCCTCCTCCAACAGCCTCATCAATGACACCCTGAGCGGCGTCCCGGGGGACTTAATCTCCGCATTACCTCTCTCCGGTTCCGGGGCTGCACGAAATTGTCGCTCCGCCGCTAACGCCTCGGCCAGATTCATGCCTGACGAAACTGGAGCCGGGTTAATGCAACCTTGATCCGGATGTGGGTCTACTCGTTCTTCAACTTCAACCGCACCGTCTTCGTCTCTGATGCTCCTGGTCATTGATCCGAATCCCAATGTGGTCCCACAGCAACCCATGACTTTAAATCCCAGCCGTTCTTTGAAACTCCTCCACCTCCCCCTTTCCCTATCTACACCGTCCATTTGTTCTCTAAGAAATCTCAGTATTGTTCTTGCTTCCCTTTCCTGCTGCAACGATTCCTGCAACAACGCACTGAGCTGACTCATTTTTGTATTTAACACGACGAATACTGCAAACGCAAAGAAAATCCAGAATACACGTAGACAACCAACGAAGAAGAATAGAAAAATCAACGTCTGCAAGTGAAGGGAAAGGGAGTGTGAAGATGGTTAAGAAGGAGGCATACAAACACCATACAGCATGGAAGTCCCGTGAGTTTATTACTCAAAAAAATACAATAAAGAGAATCCCACCTCCGGCATTGATTCACACTAACGAAAATGACAGAATCAAACAAAATGGGTCTGAGCGAACCGCTCCTCCGTCCTTGCAGAAGGTCTAGCTTTTCAAATTTCCTTTGGGACCACTGCACGGGAAGAGAAAATAAACAGAAAAAAGGTTGGATGTTTGAGTTTGGAGTTTAAAGATTTGGTTACGGGGATGGCTTTTGTCTCCGAGTTAGAGCAAAGAGCAGAACTTTGAGGGTGTTTGATTAGTTCTAAGTGGTTGGCTTTAATTATTCGGATTATAGTAATTTAGGTTTTTGTTGTTCGCCGACCAAAAACAAAGTCAAAAGAGTTTGCATCAACCTACGTCTCCATTGCCAAATGTTTCATTTTGCATGAAAAATCCCTTTTTTTTTCGTTTGTTAGTTTGTGTATCCAAATGAAAACTCCTTATACTAAATATTAATTTCAAAATGATAAAAATTTTGTCAAATAAAAAAACGGATATAAACTAACTTTAAGCCTTGCTTCTATTAACTGCATCAACATGCATTATCAAGCTTCTAACCTGTCGAAGCTCCTCATCAGTGTTTTTGAAAACCGGACTGGACCGGCCGGTTCAACCGGGAATCGTTGTCTGGTACAGTTCATTGTAATCCGGTTAAATTGTTACTATTGAATCGGACGGAACCGTTGAATCGTTCGAACTAAACCGGACCGTGAACCGATTAAAAACTGGTTGAACCGCCAATTTTTTTTTTTAAATTAAACCAAACGACGTCGTTTGTTAAACGAGCCGAGTCGAACTCGAGTATTGCTAAGCTCGACTCGAACTTGAAAACTTTAAAAGTAAGCTCAACTCGACTCAAACTCACGAGCTAAAAATTATCAAGTTCAACTCGAACTCGAAATATAATATTGAAACTTAAACTCAAAAATGCTCGAACTCAAAAAAAATTAGAAGCTCGATTGAAACCTAAAATTCAAGCTTGATTGAAGTGAAAGAATAGTTCACTTTATACTCACCAAAAGGCTCCATGATTTTGAATGTCAAATTACATCTATTATTTATAGATGTTAGTTGGGATGCTCTTCTATGTTTTTTAGCCATGTGGGATTGTTTTGTTCTAATATTTTTACTCTTTAGACTTCTGGGATGCTCTTCTATGTTTCTTAGCCATGTGGGATTATTTTTAAAAAAAAAATTAAACCAAACAATATCATTTTGTTATGATATTTTAGCCCCAAATTTATTTTTTTGATTATAGTTGTAGACACCCGTTTTTGTCCGGGTCTTTTCTATTTTAATTTATTACTATTATTGTCATTTTATATTATTATTATTATTTAATATGTATTTACATTTTGTAGGCCAATCCCGAGGCCCATTCTCGAAGCCCACCAAGAACCCAATAAGCTCACCCATCAGCCAAACCCTGAACCTAATTCACCATAAGGCTATCATCTAACAACCAACCGCCACAGTCGTTGGCCTTCCATCTCCCAGCCGTGCTTGAGGCGTCGATGGTGAATCCCGAGCCGGTCGTCATCAGCAATCTGGTCACACAGTGAAGCAAATGTCATCAACAGTGTATCAAACTTACCCCAAATCTAAAAACCCATTAAAATAACACCCAAAAATCCCGAAAAATCTGGACTTTATTCACCCAAATCAGAGAAATCAAATCCTATCCATAGACCTCATCATCTCACCCAAAAAGAAGGATTTAAAAAATCAACATGCAACAAAGAGAGGGGATTCGGGTTTTGAGAAAAAAATAAAAATAAAGAGAACTAAAAAAATCCTTACCAAAAAAGGAGTGTTGGTCATCGCTTCACCGGACCAAGAGCCTCTCATCTCTGAAGGTAAGGGTCTTGTGTTGGTTGGGGTTTGGTTTTGGGGTTCCATTCTTTTTGTTTTGTTGGAGAACAGAGGCAAAATGAGAGAGGAAGAGTAGAGAACGGATGGGGGGGGGAAAGAATTGCAAATAGGGCTCCCAATTTTTTAAGGTGGTATATAGCAACTTAATGGAACGACACAGTATTGGATGCTAGGATTCCATGTGTTGGGTGTATGGTTTAATCGCGTCAGAAGGGTCCTCATCTTGTAACATTTTAATTTTAGTCATCAATGAACTTTTACTTTCTTATATTTTGAGCTTCCATTTTGTTTTATGTTATAATTCCATCCTCATCTGCGTTTGTATTTTTATGTTCATATTTGAATTTCAGCCATCCTACTTTAATTTGTTTTTATCTAGGTAGTGTATGTTTTCATTAATGCATTTCAATCACTCTTTTTACATTGTTTTGCTTTTGGTCAAGTTTATGATGATGGCATGTTATTTTATTTTATTTTATTCTAATCCTGAATATTGTTTTGTGGTTTATTCTCATTTTTGATCATCTATTGTTCGATATATTTGATTATTGTCCCGGTTTGTTATTGATTTTGCAGTTTAGAATTACAAGTTATTATTAATATCTTTTAGCCCTCTTAATTACTATATATGTGTAATTACCTTTATTTGTGGTCTCGTTTAAGGATTTTATATTCTCATATTAGTTTTTTTTACATATGTACATATATTTGAATATATCCATGACTTGTATATATATATATATATATTAATGTTATGTAGTCTGTATATAGTGTTGTATTATACATTTTATTACATGCATGCATGCGTGTATTATATATACTTACCAAACATATAGATTTTTTTTACATATCGAATAGTTATATGCATAATAATATTTTAATTTTTTAGGATTATGTATATATTTATTTAACATATTCCGATCTTCATATATTTATGTATGTACTTAGAACTGATATTTTGAACAATCTCAAATGTTTGTTTAATGACTAATATGTTTAATGTCATTTATTCGAATACTTTCAAGAACGTCTTTTATAGAACGGACGTGGAAAGTATCACTTGGTCGAAGTGATGCAATCCTATACGACGTTCAAACAGAATGAAAAAACGCAAATTCTTCCTTTTACGAGCTTATAGAAATTATTTTTATTGTTATTCTATTTTTTGTTATTTTATTTGATGTTCATATTGTTTAATATTTAAATTTTAATCTTTATATTTATTTCTTCATTGAATCTTAATATGAGTGATGTATGTTTTGGAAAAATAAAATATGATGTATTTTATGTCAATTTTCGATATTTTTTTAAAAGAGAAAATATTCTTTACAAGTAAGAAATAGACGAGGTAGCTTTCCCGACGGAGGATTGCAAATCTCGGGATTTCTTGTCGAGAAAAGGGTTTTTTTTCTTTTATTTTGACTAATATTCAATAAATAAATCATAATTTATTTATTATTCTATTTTTATAATTTTTATTGTATTAATGGTTTTTATGTTAATATTAACTATACATGTTTTAGATAAATTAAGCATATTTTATTTTCTACTCATGTCGATATTATTTGGTGGTAATTCAAAGATATAATATACTTTATAGATGAGAAATAGATGAGATAGCTTTCTCGTTGGAGGATTGCAAATCTTGAGATTTCTTACCAAGTGAAGTATTTCTATTATTTTAACAAATATTCAATAAATAGATCATATTTTTACTTCTGATTCAAACTTTAAGTTCTACCATTTATGAAGATATATAAGCGACTGAGTACCGATTTTGGGCGTTGTGGATGTTTATCTTTTCCACAGACGTAACCGACTTCCGAACCCCCTAAATTTTCTTCTGATAACGCAGACTTGTATTCTTATAAAAAAATGATTTTCTTTAAAATTGTTTTTTAAATTAAAAACATGTTATTAGGTATTCGACTTACCTAACTCAAAGGTCGATGGCGACTCCTTTCAATTTAATTCTAATTAATCCAAAATCCTCAATTTTTCCAAATAAAAGTTATAATCGTTTTTTAAAATAATATTTAATTGTTTTACCTAAAAAATGGTTATGACAGCTTGGCGACTCCGCTGGGGACGGCTAGAGAGTCAGGCTGTCGGTCGCTTATATATGGTCGTTATGGTGGAAATTATAAGTTTGAATCTTTAGTAAAACTATGATCTATGTATTGAATTTTTATTTATTATTTTATCTCTTTATTTTTATATACTAGCATTTTAATTGTTTTCATTTTTTTTCAGATATTTCTTAGTTCTCGTTGAGTGTTATTTTTATTATTATATTTTTTCCCTGTTTTTTGAGTCAAAGGTTTGTTTGTTTATCCTCACACACATCACTTTCGTTGGCATAACATGAGCTCTAGACATGAGCTTCGATCCAAATTAGTTAGGGTGATTGCTTTACTCTCGTAAGAATTTATTCTTCGTATGAGTTTTAGCAAATAACCCATGGGATACATACCTTATACCTTATACCTTCGTAGGAATTTATTCCTCGTATGGGTATAAGGCAGTGAATCCCCTCGAATTGAACTCGTTCCGTTTGAAACCTGTAATGGGTGAGGATTGAGGGTTTGGTAGCCCACGGGGGCACCGACATCAAGGACAATTCGAGTTCCTTTTTCCTGATAAGAGCCGAAACCATGCATATAATGAACCATAGAACGGTCACACTAGGTATAGTCATGCCGAACCTCTGTCCGTCAATAGGTACCCAAAATAGGCGTACACAATGGAGAAACCTACTCTAACATTTTATTTATTTATTTATTTATTTTTGGTAGAATTTATGTGCAGTTAGAATTTAATTAAATAAATTTAGGAGGGTAGAGAGCATGTTCGGGTAGGACCCTTTTTGAGGAATATTATTTGGGTAGATAATACATAAATGGAGGAGATTTATTTCCCGTTTTACATATCTTTTTTATGCTAAATTTATACAATTATTTTTGACTAACTGTTTTGTTTGTTTTGTTTGTTTTTTATTCATACTGCATAGACATATCATTAGAAAAGGCGATTGATCTGTGAGTATCGATAAAGTGGAAGGACTTTCACGATGGAAAGGAGTTTCCTAAACAAAGAGGTGAATCCAGCAGATGTAAGGAATTGGTCCGAAGCCAAGCAGAAAGAGCAGGGAGATAGTCTATCAGGGGACTACGTGTCGGATCTGTCTGATTATACACCAGCTTCTTTAAAACAGAATGAGCTTCAGGGATTGAAAACAATTTGGGAAAGTTGGAATCTTATTGAGAGGCAAGCTTTTCAGCAGACTTATGGGGATATATTTCATCTGATATACGTGAAGGTAGACCCGATTCTCATACGAAGCATAATACAGTTTTGGAATCTGGCCTATAGTTGTTTCACATTCAACCGAGAGGACATGACTCCAACCCTCGAGGAATACCAATTTCT